ATGGCACTTTGGCCAATTCTATCCATAGAAGCAGGGGCACACCATTAGTATTTCATATCAGTTGAAATAATAATGATATATGACCATATATCTGGCAAAGATTAAAACAATAATTAAAAAAAAAACAAACTAACAATCTAACAATCTAATAGCCAAACAATCATATACAATTTCTTTTAGGGAAATAAGACAATTTACCTCCTGCTTAGAGGACTGCTCATTTAACTGTGTTTTTTATAAAATTAAGGTATTTTATATAGTACTTCTGCAGAATGAAGAGGACATTCAGCTAGATAAAAACTGTTGCAAAAAGACAACAATCCTAAGGCTTGGCCACTTCTTAACCCATTCCAGTGCTTGTTCCAGCTCTAGTACCCCAGGGGTATAGATGGAAAGCTAAATGGTTGCCATATTTATCTGTTAGATATTTCACATTAGGTAGCACAAGAAATGCCAGTTGTTCTGCAGATGTGTGTGATTCTGCCTCCTCCTTCTTCATCTGAAATGCAACATCCGTTACCTTTGTTCTCTTGGTAGCTAGCACAGACCTAAAGCTGTGGTTCTTTTTCTTGTGACAAGGAAGATCCTGGGACACTCTGTGGCCAGAATATCAAGTTGTATGTCCTTCACTGATGCTGGTTGTTTGCAATGCAAATGGTAGGCTTTGTCTCACATAGTGCCATATCCATGGTAACCAAATGAAGACAAGTTTGCATTACTTCCTTAGTAAAGTGTAATCCTTCCCCTGGTACATGTGCCAAGGAAGCATATGGACATAAAGGGACAGCAATATATTTTGTGGAATGGGAAGCAACCAAAGCACCTTCTGTTTTTTGTTGTTTTTTTTTTTTTTTTTTTCATTTTCCCCATGTCAGTTATTGTTGCACTCATTCCTCCACCCTCTTTTTCCTATCTTGCCTTTATCTAGAATTCCCATTGTTAAAAATTAGACTAGTCCTAATTTCTACTTTCCCCTTGCCTAGAGGCTGAGCAAACAATCATCAGGTCAAACTGCCAACTTAAACACTACTTCCTGGCAAACAGCCCTTCCTCGCTCTTCTTCGTATCATTAAAAAAAGACAAACCGACATATTTTTTTTTCATAGCTTCATAGACTGTTTCTTTTGACCAGCTTTTTTAGCAAAGGGAACAGACTCAATTTGAGTGTACTGTAAAATTATTTCTGTTGATACTGTTTTCACTGTTGTTGTTTTGTTTTCTTGCTTTTGACAACCTGTGCGCTGAATTTATGTTCTTCCCTTTATGTATCTGGGAGGCTTAAAATATGCCTCTTTCCCTCTTCAGCACAGTCTCATGCTGTTTGAATACGAGAAAGAACTTCTTTACTATGCAGATGGCCAAGTACTAGAACAGATTGCCCAGAGAGGTTGTGGAATCTCCCTCACTGGAGATATTCAAGAACTATCTGGATGCAATCTTGTGCAGTGTGCTGTAGAATGACCTTGTTTGAGCAGGGAGGTTGGACCAGATGACCCAGTGTGGTCCCTTCCAATCTTACTGCTTCTATGATTGAGTGAAACATATTTATTTACTGTTATCTGCAATGTTTCTTCTCAATAAGAGTGAGCTCACCTGGTGATTAAAATGCAGAACCATGATACCATCAGCTTCCAATTCAATTATTCACAGCGAGCAACACTGCTTGTGTCAACCAACACTAAGACTTTTACTTTGAAAAGAGCAGAACTAGTTGATACCATGGCCTCTGGACAGAAATTTTACCAAAGGCTTCACATGGGTAGAACCCTCCCCAAATTTATATTTGCCAGCATATGAGAAAGCTTTAAGTGTTATTACAGCATTCACTATCTCTTATGCTTCCAGAAAATCTTCATTCCCTGGAGTTACTTCACCTGTAAGTGTTCACGTGGATGTTCCAGAGGTGCTTTGAATATCAAACCAACTTTCCTTTATTTCTTCCAAGCAAATGGCAGGCGTGTTGTAGAGACAAAAAAAATTCATATCGTCCATAGCAGCTACAATTACAGTGTGCTTAACAATTCAAATGTTGATGGGCAGGGAAAAGGGACCTTAGCTTCATTTATCTGCCCAAAGTCAGGTCCTAAAGCTAAAGACAGAAGGTTTTTGTCATCTCCTTTTGCTTGTGATTAAGACAGAGAGAAAACTGGAGACCTCAGTCTATAAGCAGTGGTTTATCCTAATATATGGCAAATGAAAAGAGTGACTAATACAGACCAGAAATTATGATTATTCTTGCCTGAGGGCACCTTGCGAGATGCATTTTTCTACTTGTTTACTGGAGCAGATATTGATGCATCAAGATACTGTGATCTTTCTCCCCGAAGGAGCTGCCGTAAGAAGTGTAGCTGAGCCAGAATACGTAACACAACTGTGTCACTTATGACACTTATGAAGGATTTTTACTGTTTTCCTCCGATTTCTTTTTTTAGTGGTTACCTAAAAACAGCAATTGATTCATAAATGATATGGAGTATGAACCATAAAGTTGATAAAAAAAGAACTTCTCATCCTAGCTCTGGGATCTGAAAAAAGCATATTTTTTTCCTATTCATTCCATGTTGCAAAAGCATACTTAGTATTCTGCTGTCATGCAAAACCAGCCCAGTCACCACAAATGTACTCAAACACTTTTCTGTACAGATATGGAAGATTTTGAGAATTTAAAGGCCTCTACCTCCTAATTCATGTCTATATAACCGAAAATTTACTTGCATATTTCTTGATATTGAAGGTAACTGGGGGCTGCCTAGTTGAGTATTGGTGAAGATGGATATGGAGATGTTTGCGTTCATAAACATCTAAAGAAAATGGATAAATATTAGCCAAGTGTTATGAAGTAATCACTTGACAAATTAAAAGCAAAAAGTAATATTAACAGTGCTATCCAGTATGTATCATACAGTGTAAGGAATATTATGTGAAGCTGATGAAGTTCAAGATCCTGTTTCAGTGAAACAGACACACTTTGCTCTAGTTGGTGGCAGGGAGAATCGTTCTGTTAAGTGCTGGCAACAAAAGTGAGACAAATCTGTCGGGGAACCTCTCTCAAAATGTTTATGTGTTTTTTGATTTTTAGAAACTTTTCATTTCTCCCATTCTCTAGTAAAGAGCTGGTATAAATATATGGCTGATGCATAGTCCTCAATTTCTACCTTGAAACTATCTTGGAGGGGAGGGGGAAAGGGTGCAGTGGGTAAAAAAGAGATTTCCAAAATATTCTGAGTGTGTTATCAAATGAAGCAAACACACAGAACAGGGAAACCACCCAGTCATTCATTACATCGACAGATTTGCAAGGCTAAATCTGCTTCTGGAGAGCAGTTAGAAATTAAAACACACAGATGATTGGTGCTGGCACCCAAACTGTGAACAAGAGGACATTCTTGCCTGAAAAGATGTACCATATCAGATTAATCATTATGTGTTAATTAATTTGAAATCAAAAGAATGTCTTCAGCTGTCTATGCAGAGGAAATTAATGATGATAGTACTAATTAAATGTAATGAAAGTTATCTCTGTATTTCCCATATTTGGGTCCAAACTCTTCATTGCCCTTCATATTGTGTCATTTACAGTTCATTCCCATTGTAGCATCTTCCCCTGCTGTAAATGGCTGTTCAAGTCGTCGGCCAATAGAGAATCAGGCCAGTCAATTACTCAGCTGAGAAACTAGCTTTAAACACTGACTTCATACCCTGAGAAGGTGTGTCACTGCATCTCCTCCACTGTGACTCATCCTAACATGAAAAAACGTTCCTTCTACCTTGCTCTTCTCTTTTACTCCCCCAAAACACTACTGTCCTTTCTTTGACCTCCTTCTGTTGCATGGGTATTTCTACTGACAATTTCTCTGACAGATGGGAGTCTCCATTTTCTGGCAGTTTTTTCCTTTAATCAAATGCAGTGACAGATATTGCAGGCACCATTCTTGTGCAACTGCAGTACTCTGACTGGAAGAGCCTTTGAAAGGCCACAGCAAGTAGACAAGACTCTGGACTCCCTCTGTCAAAAGACATGGAAAACACAGTTCATGCTGTATTGTGGGGTGAAGCCCCACAATTAAAGTTTGAGGCCGTGTTCCATGCAAGCAGTGGAGCTGGTTAGATGGTTTCCATGGACACGGCCTTGGGTTGCAGGGAGTACAGGGTTGAGACGGTTTGATAATGTGCAGGTGCTGGATTCCTGGATGTTGTTGTAGGAATATGTTTGTGTTGTGTGTGAAGTTAGTTAGCTCAATAAAAGGCTGTCTGCCACGCTGAACAGACAGACATCTCTTCGTCTCACTACCTTTACGTGTCGTGTGTCTTTCTTCCCCCATGGACCAAGACCCCACGACAGATTCCCTGCGACAATGGTGCAGCCCGTGTGAGGAACCAGAAAAAGACTGTCGAGTATTGCCCGTGTCGTCTGGAGTTTCACGACCGAGGTAATTAAGCTGCGGGGCGAGGCAGCAAGGTCTTGGTGCTCAGGAGCTGTTTAGCAGCGGGATGCTGCAGGATCCGGGTCCGATTATTTGTTCACACCTGAAGGCACAAGTGTTTCTGCCGACACTTGGAAGGCACAAAGTTGCCTGGAAATCCCAAGTGCATCTGGCACTTGGTAAGGCACAAGGTGAGCTCCTGAGATTTTTTTTCCTAGTCACTATGGGGGCAGACCATGAGTGCAAACGAAAGGCATGTTTTTATCGCCTGAAAAGCTTTGTTACGGCATCTTGGTGTTAGACGCGATCAAGCTAAGTTTCATCGCTTGTTACTGTTGTGTCTTCGGAATGGGAGAGAGGCTGCTTTACCTGGGAGGACATTAGAGTGCTAAAGAAGAGGGGCCGGGCGGAGCCGAAGGGAGCCGAAGCAGGGTCGGAGGTCGCGGAGCGGGGCCCGGGGCAACCAAGCAGCCCCAGCAGGATGGACGCGGTGCCAACGATTCGGCAGTACTTGTCCAAGATAATCAAGGACAGCTACGGCATGAATGTGCTACTGATGGACCGAGAAACGATCTTATGAACGCTGTGACTGGTTTCCACCTTAAGAGGCTTCCTGTTTCTCGCCCGGGGCGACGGGCTGTCGGCATCGGCAGCGGCTCCATGCGCGGTTGTGGTGCCGTGCGTGGCCCCGGCCGGCGCATTGCCGCGGGCTGCAGAGCCGGGGGCCGGCGGGATCGCTGCCGTAGCCCCGGCTCCGAGCGGCGCGCCCACATATGCACCGGCGGCAACTCCGTGTGCAGAGGCAACTCCGTGCCCGGTGCCTGCGGCGCCGACCTTAGGCAGCGCTGTGCCCTGTGCGGCGCTGGCTACGGGTGGCGCGGCCGCGGCCCCGAGGGCCGGCGCAGCGGACGGCGGGGGGGTCTGTTTCCCCCGCGCTGCTGACAGCCATGGTCCCGAGCGGAATGAGGGGCGGCGGGCTGGCAGCGGCGGCCGCAGTGTTAGGCTGTGCAGTGGGGGCCTGTCTGTCTTCTCCCCTGTTTTACACCACCACCTTCTCCCCCTCCCCCCCTCCCCAGAACGTGTCCATCTGCAGCTGTTCCTCTCCTCCTATGTATCATTCTTTTTCTGCAAACCACATAGCTAAAGTTGCGACATGAGGAGAGCAAAGGCAATTTAACTCCTCTTCTTGATTTTTCTCCGAATAAACCCGACCTCTATTCCCCCTCCTCCCCCTCCCTCCCTCCCTCTCCACAGGAGACGCAGGGGGGGGCAAAGAGCGGGAAAAGGTGAAGGAGGGAAGACAAAAGGGGGTAGTCCTGCCCCCTGCAGAAGTCGCCTAGAGATCCTGGTTCTTTTTGGAAAGGTGTACGTACCCTGAGTGGAAAATGGAATTTTTGTGATAAAATAAGGGTATCCTTGTTCTATGAAACAGTTTGAAACTTCCCAGGATGGTATCCTGGCCTTTCCTGTTGTACTTGTCTTTTGCATGGAAAGTTGTACAAGATTTCTAATTTAGTGTTACCAAATGTGGCGTACATTCCCCTCACAAGTAATGAGACTGATAAGAAGTACACAGCTAATAAATACTTAAAATGTGTGTGTGAGTGATGGATGACTGAGGTGGCCACCTATGTATGCTGGGAAAAAGACTGTGTGAGAGAGAGAAACTGTGTGGAAATGCAGACTTAAAAATACTTTCGGTAAGTGTCAAGATTACATTAAAAAAAAAAAAAAAAATGTGTAACATGATTCTGTTGAACCATAGTGAGTCCTTATTCTGGATGGTATATGAACTCTTCAAATTCCCACTATAAGTATTTCCACTCTTATGGAACCTGGTGAGGTTTTGGTTATGTTCATCAAGAGGATTCTCCTCAATTTGTGGAACTTTGAGTTGTAACTCTTGCTTTTCAGTTATTTCCTAATCAACCTTTAAATGTTATTACTAATTTTACATATGTTGTTAATTTGTAATAGCAACTTAGAACTCCTTTGTAGAAATTAGAATCTGGCCAGGAATCCTTGCACAGCCAATAGGAGGGGCCTTGTACTTCTGGAAGATTGGTGATTGTGGTTGTGGTGCTGATGCTGCCTTGTTTAGTGTCGTTCCTGCAAAAGGGCCCTGCAGGATATGATACGGGCAGTCTTTGCTCCACAACTACAGAAAAGGGGGATTCGTGGGGTGAAGCCCCACAATTAAAGTTTGAGGCCGTGTTCCATGCAAGCAGTGGAGCTGGTTAGATGGTTTCCATGGACACGGCCTTGGGTTGCAGGGAGTACAGGGTTGAGACGGTTTGATAATGTGCAGGTGCTGGATTCCTGGATGTTGTTGTAGGAATATGTTTGTGTTGTGTGTGAAGTTAGTTAGCTCAATAAAAGGCTGTCTGCCACGCTGAACAGACAGACATCTCTTCGTCTCACTACCTTTACGTGTCGTGTGTCTTTCTTCCCCCATGGACCAAGACCCCACGACAGATTCCCTGCGACACTGTATATAACCCATCCTCTGCATAAAGCATGTTTCTAGCCCATTCTTTCATCCCTTTGCTCATAGCTTTTTATTAGCCTCAAGGTCTCTTAAAAGGAAATAAGGGGAAAGAATCAGTAGGTGTACCAACTGACAAATTACTAACTACAACTAAAGATTTAAGCGATTTAGAAGAAGGTTGAGTTTCTTGGTCCAGAGAACATTCACAGAAGGGACACCGTCTTCCACAGCATTCTCCTGGAGACACTGGTCACTCATATCTTGTATGTACTCTTCACTGAGAGAAAAGCTGCCTGGATGGCTGGGCCCAGAGAGTGGTGCTGAATGGGATTAAATCTAGCTGGTGGCTGGTCTCTAGTGGTGTTCCCCAGGGCTCAATATTACTGCCAGTCTTGTTTGATATCTTTATCAATGATCAGGATGAAGGGATTCCCTTCTGCCCATCTCAGAAACTTTGTTGTGATTAATAGTTGCATTGAGGGGACATTGCTTTTGTGGTTTCATGGAGCAGTTTTCATGGTTTGAGTAGCAGCTGGATGGCTATGTCAGTGCTATCATACTAAACTCACTTTTGGTCACTGTTACAACCCGCCCCAGGAAAAGGCGGGGGGTAAATCAGGTTTTTATCAATAATTCCCTTGGGGTGGATTAAAGTCAAACGACACTAAATAATCGATGTCTGAAAAAATATATTGGCAAAGTTTATTTTAAACAATTTCATTTCAACAGGTATGTTAGCATGTTGGGTGTTGTCATCTATATCATTTATAGCAATATGGCATAGGGATAACTTCGGGGGGGGAAAATGCATAAGGGAGAGAAAGGAAAGACAGGGTAAGGGTAAGGGAGAGTAAGGGAAAGAAAATATGAGGATGGAAAGATGCATATAGTCACCGCCCATGGGGTCCAGCGATGACACCTGGCAGTTGCCACTTCCATGTCCGTCAGCTGAAGTGGTGGCCTTGATCTGCTGGGGGCGAAGGAGGGAAGCCCCCACACTCCAAGAAGCTATGAGTTATCATATCCATGATCAGTGTCACGGGCCATGTCTCGAGCCTCCAGCCTCTCCCTGGGCTTGCACAGGCGTCTGGCCTGCTTCCCGCCTTTCAAGATTGGCAGAGAGGGGGATGGGCCCAGCTGCCCATCTGAGGTATCTTCTTGCCTTTTTAGGGTCCAACTGCCCATCTGAGGTATCTTCTTGCCTTTTTAGGGTCCAACTGCCCATCTGAGGTATCTTCTTGCCTTTTTAGGGTTCAACACCTTCAGCTCTGAAGGGAGGGATGGGCCCAACTGCCCATCAGAGGCATAATGCAAAAGTCAAAAGCCTGCAAAAGTCCCTTGGCAATCCTAGAATACATAAATCATTAACTATTTCAGTCTCTGACAGTCACAAACACATGTTACATGTGGTAAAGGGTTAATTTCTGAAAGATATGAGATTCGAGAAGGGACAAGATGCCCCAGTGCTAGCTGTTGCAGAGGACTTTAAAATTTTTGTTACAAGGACAAAAATCTTGCAACTTAAAAGGACACTATTGGCAAGAGGAAATATTATTATATTTTCATTGCACAGAGGAAACAGATGTGTAAAAGAAAGAGGAGACTTGTCCATTCAAGAGGGAATTCATGTTTTCAGAGTGCCAGCCCAGGGATTCAGTCTCAAAAAATAGCTTCCCACCATATCACCAACAATAGAGCTTTCTAATGACTGATGGGCTCTAAAAATGCCACTGAGGCTTCACAATAACTAAATGCAGGGAATCTTTTCTTTAGTTTTCATACTTGCTTTTTGAAATGGCATCAGATCCCGGCCAATAGACTGACAATAGCTTTGATGTGGACATAGAAAGGATTCTGTTGTACAGCAGAGTATCGTGGACTTACCTGGATGAAGACTGTTAAAAGTGATAGACCACCCTTTTATGCCACTACTTGGTAAGACTGGAAAAATCAGGTTCAGCAAATTCTCAGCATCCCATGGTGACTGATGACAATGTCAGGGTCTTTTTCTATACTAGTTTGTTTCAAGCGGTGACAAGCATTCATGCATTGTTCTTAGTCACTAACTCCATCTTCATTTTTATTCTCAGTGTTATGTTCTTGCAGGGTTCTGGTGGAATCTTTGCACCTGTTTGTATTTGCTATTGAAATGTTAGAAAAGGACAAATTTCTTGTTTCCTCAGGTGAGTTTTTAAGTACCAGATACTTATATTGATACTCAGTGTCACAACTGTAGTTGTGTTTTGCCTCCTTTTTCTTTATTGGACAGGGAAAAAATCACCAGTGTTGCGAAATCTGATCTTGCTTTCATCAAAACTTCACCATTGTTCTACTGTTCTTTTGGGTGAATGTGCCACTTGTCAGGGAATGTCATCTCAGAGCTCTGTGTTTAGTCTCAGACTTGGCTGCTTCTTCTGTCTTCCAGAAAAGGACCTTCTTTTCTTTTCCTTCTAACGTGTGTGAACTGCCTACCTCTTTGTATTGATCACAAAGGGAACCTTTGTTGTGAGAAAACATTTGGTCTTACCGGGAGATTCTAATCTTCAGTGCACTGGTAATGAGCTTTCCAGGTTAGAGCTAGGCAGACATTAACACAACCCTGTTGCTCTGCAGTTTAACAAAAAAAAATAGAGTAACTTTGTAAATTCATAGACACTATATTCCAGAAGTCTTTTGAGACTTAATTTTGACTTCTGATTGCTGCCCACTTTCCATGTCAATTCACTGTGTTAATGAGAGTTGTACCATTTAATCCAGGAGGTATAATGCAAGGAAACCACCTCCCACTTTATCTTATATCCAACTGAGCCACGTTGCAGATCAACCCTTCCCTCCCTCCTTTGTAATGGAAAGCAAGGCAGTTTCTTAAACTGACAGTCTCAGTGGCTTTGATTGTACCTGCAGCAAAAGAGGCTTGTCTGTAGCATTTTTCAGCAATGAGTTAAATATCTATGAGCCATCCTTGCTTACCTTCAGGTTAGAAAACTGAAAAGTAGGAGAGCTGGGATCAATTTCTGGCTCCGCTGCAGGCTTCCTGCGTGCTAGGTAAAAAGGAGGAGATAATCTTCCCTCCACAGAAGAGTGGACTGTCTCCCTATTTCAAGCTATACAGGAACTGTGCATTGGGATGCATTCATGCAGAATCAGAAATTATGGTTTTCAATTTTCATTATGACTGCTAGATACTTCCAGAAAATTTATGGCTGTATATAATTTTTATATATATATTAATATATTATATTTATATAAATTTTATTTTACTTTCCAAATTTGGTTATAAAAAACCCTCAGACTACTGAAGGAAATTACTAGATTCTTCTGTCAATATTTCTTATCCATTCCAGGATTCACCAAAAATGGAGCCATACAATAGAGTGGTTAATTGTCACAAACTGATCTGGCAATAGTCTTCCAAAGGGCTCTACTTTTTATTTTTAGAAGACTCTATAGAAGAAAATATTCATCACTGGTTACATTCTTGTGTTCTGTAAGTTTGTATCACTTTATTACCTAAATATTTGTTATTTGATTTCTCCAGTAGGGAATATGATATCTACAATACTGAAGTTTCTGGCAGGTGTAAGACCCCAGGCCCTGATCTATGAGCTCACCAAAGAAGTTTTGCTTTAAAAATATACAAGGCTCCAACAATATCCGCCCTCCAGATATATTAGAAGAGCCCTGGGTTCTTTGAACACCTTAAGAGAGAGTGTATAGGAGAAAAGCTGCACACATTTTCTCAGGGGGTACTTTTAGTGGTAAACTTTAGAAAATAAGAGTATTTGGCAAAAGTTTAAAGGGTAACATTCCACATTCCACAAAGCATTGACTTAGCACATGCTAACCCATACAATTTAGCAAAATCCAAACCGTCCAATCTCAAGCTACCCAAAATATTAAGAAAGGAGATTAGGAGAAGAAGAAGTAAAGAAAGAGAGAGTAAAAGAGGAAATTATAGGTACCACTGGAGTCCTGTGAGTCCAGCTTCCACCTGTCCAGGTGGCAGGGTTTGAACAAGCACAGAGAGTACATGTTGCTGCTTTCATTTGCTTTGGCCCTGCTGTGGCCACACAACCTGCCCCCAGCTGGGACTTCCAGTGTGCCAGCCAATCCTGGGTTGGGTCAGGGGCTGGGATGTGGGCAGTGCTCCTGGGCTGCCTTTGACTGGCAGCTGCTTGGGGGTTGCCTGGTGTCTGCTGGGGCTGGGATTTGGGACAGGGTATCACCTCACTTCTGTGAAATTTAATCTGTCCCTTCCCCCCCACATACACATACTTGAGTTGGTCCGAGCCAATAATTAATATAATAATCCAGTGTCTCACAGCAGGGAAATTCTGACCCCTGAAAACTCAGAACAAAATATTCTACTTTGAATGATTTCAACCAAAGAATGAGCTTTTTATTTTGTTGATCTACATCAAATGCTTTTTCACAAATATTTGGTTTGAAATGACACATCTTGCTTAGGACCCAGTGCTTCATAAGAAATATATCTCAGTGCTCTATTAATTTCTAGGCTATTCTTTGAAGGATAGAATTTCCCATCATGTGTCTGGATCGCTTTCTGAAGAAGCTATCTGCTTCATCATAGGAATTTCACATTGCTGTGTGCCCCAGGGGAGATGTAGCCTGCTGTACAAGCATGATTTATAGCGCAAAGTGTGGTTTCATATGCCCACAACCCCATGAGGCAATGTACTGCTATAGGGAAATGTAGTTTAACCTTGAACTTAAAACTGAATGTATTTCGTTCACCAAAAGTGAGATTTTTTTTAACTTTTGTACTACTTTGGGATAAAAACAAAGTCTGAAAGACTGGTATTTCCCATGAACTCTTCAGTATGACTTCATGCATTCACTGCTAAAGCAAATGCAACTTAAGTGTACAAACAATCAACAACCAAAAAAGACCTAGGAGTGATGTTTGAAAGTGAGGTGAGAAGCAAAAAAATAGCCATAGTCTTAAATTACAGTCACAGCAACATTTTCCAATATTAGGGTAAGGCCAAGTCAGCCAAACTCATACATAGCAAAGCTAGCCATTATTGCAGGTTTCCTCATTAATTATCATGTCACCATGCAGACATGGATCAGCTGAGAGCCATCATACATCTGCCTCCTACATGATCCACTGAGAAGGCTTTTCCTTCCATTCTACTCAATCCTGGCTCAAATAAGCTGATTTAATTAGATTCTTAGTAACATTTAAATTCAGAAATGACAGATTTTACTCCTGCAGAATGCTAAAATTTCATGGTCTTTGCCTTAAGCGTAAACTAAAGATTTGAATCTCAACACTTAACTGAGGTCAATATATAATGAGGGAAAAGTGGATGATGCTTACAGGGCAGGAAAGTTGAGATTATGGATCTGTTTTTCTACAAGCCATGACCATATATGTTCTGAGTGATCTGTGCTGCCCATCCGACTGCCTCCCTGACCTTGTCTCTTAAGACAAGCAACTGTTCTTTTGTGGCATTTAATTTATTTTTTGTTCTTTTTTAGTGGTTTTATCTTACAGTTTATCTACAAGTGGGGATAAGCTGCAAGGCCAAGTGTAGGCAGGTAAGACAGAACATCATAACATCCTTCAACATTTCTAGTAAAGACTGTTTAATTATAAAATATCAAGCACCACAGACCTCTAGGCTGGGGCGAGCTACTGGGAGACTGTGATATTCATGGATAAGCTGTATATTTTTACTTCATTTGGAAGATGAGAAGATTCTCTCATGAAGTGACTAAAAATCTGCCTGATCTGAACACAGGACTTTTTGCATGTTCTCACCTACTTTCCTGATCTGCTGAACCTAGTGAATTCAGAGACTTTATTTTTTTTTTTTAGGAAAGGAACCATAAACCCAAGTCAATTCACAGCTCTTCATGTCCACAGAAGAATATTTTGGAAGTCCAGAATATTATTTAGCAGTGTTTCCATATTTACACTTTTTCTTTATTCGGTTTACAAGTAGAAGATGCAGTTCAACAGTGTGTGATTTAATCTTGTCTCCTGTTAGAGATGACTGAGGCTAAAATGCCAATTTCCCTCAAATATCAGAGGCCACATTTTGCTTAGCAAAATTTATTATTCGTAAGCAAAGATATACTTAAATGTGCAAATTTACAATGCATTGTTTTTTTGTTTTCCTAAGGTTTTCTGATAGATTTCTAAAGGGCATTATTTTCCCTGAAGTATTTTCCAGTTTGGTAATGAGATTGTGTTTCTAGTGTTGGGAACAAAATACTTAGATCTGGAAGTGTAAATACTGCACCCTCCCCACTACTATTTCTGTGACCTCTTAAATATGGAGAAAAAACCCTCTAATAAATGTCAACCTGTTTAATGAGAAACTTCTCACGACAGTCTTCTCATTAGAGAAAGAAGGCTCTAACCATGAGTGAAATGACTTGTGTTGCGCTACTTGAAGATGCAAAGTTTATCCAAGTCATGAGGTGGACATGGGCTCCTGAGTTCACCACTTAACAGGCTGGATGTCTTAGTATGGGCATACTTTTGACCCACAGAAGTACAGGACAATTCAACTTTCTTTAGCCTACAACAAAAGCCACTTAAGATGTCACACCCTGTGTTTACTTGGTTTTAGAGTATAGCCATACCAGCTACTGTCTCTTACCCAATTTGGGGTAATCTATCACGTTCTGCCATTTGATTTTTTTGTGATCTGCTACTGCCTACATCTCCTATAAACACAACATCATTGAAGTCATCATTAAATTTTTTACTGAACCAGTTTTCTACAGTGCTAGTTTTTTATTTGGCAGCACTTGTATTTATTCAGTCCTGGCAATATGAGATATTGAGGAAACCACATCAGCAGCCACTTTGTGTTATAATGTTCTCTTACAGGGAGGAATATATACTTATTAACTCACTGCCTAATCTAATTTTTTAAGTTCTCATGCACATTTTGAAGTGAATCTACAGCTTCTGTTGGCACATGACTAAGAAATTGTATACAACAAGTAGATGATTCTTATTCAAATTATGCTCAGTTTGCTGCTAGAAAGTCTGTTTTATGTTAGCACACAAATTACAGGATGTCAGTAACCTTTATATTTTCAATTTGGATGGATATCCTTTTACTGAGTAAGCCAGAAGGAACTCATACTCGAATTTACAAGCAGAAGAATAATACAATAGAGAAGATGAAAGGAGGTTTACTCCTTTTTTACTGACAGAATTTTGTTAAATAGATGAGAAAACTTTAAAACCTTTTCTCTTCCATTTATTTTTATGGGAAAAACCCCCAAAATTTTTCTTGTGGCATTCAAAGTTTATCTACTGCTGCTCATAGGTAAATGTTACCCTAGCTTTGAGAGGATCAATAAGACTGTTACTTTGGTGTTAGGAGGGTAAGTGACAATGACAGGCACAGTGTATTTGCATCTGATTTATTCCCTTCTCATCCTCACTAAATAATCAAATACAGCTCACAGGTATAGCACACTTGGAATCTAGCAAACAGTGTTATCAACTTTATGACATATATTTCCTCCTCTGGAAACTCTTGCAAGTATTCTGCAACTGTCACTGCTCTCAAACACGTTTAGTGCCTAATGTTAAGCCCAGAGAAATCAATATCACAAACATTCACAAAATTTCTAATGTACTTGAAAAACTGTTATATACCGAAAAAAAATCCTACCAGCATGTGTTGGTATGAAACTTTAAATAATATATTTTAATTGTGGGGGTTTTTAATTAAAAAAACCCAGGGATTGAAATTTATTTTAATCGTATTTGCTCTATGTACATCTTCAATGGTTCTGCAGCAGATGGTGGAACGCAATTCATAGTGCCTACTTTTAAATGGCAGGGGCTTAGAGTGTACTGCTATTGGTTTATGAAATGTAAGGGCACCTATCTTCCCTTTCTTACTAGCGTGTGTTGCATTATTCTATGACTAACCTAGCTCAACTATGACTTGGTCTTCCCACAGTGATATTGTTCTACAACTTTGTCACTCAGGCTAAAGTGTTTCCTTATTTAATGAAATCAGTGTTTTGTTCTTTTCTCTAGTTTGAAAGATTTCCATTTTGAGGGGGAAGAAAGGTAAAAAAAGAACAAATTATTTTTAATTCTTCTTTGTGGTTTCCTTCTCTCATACTGGTATCAACAGTGTTAGTTCAAAAATCTGCATATCCCCCTCTAGACCTGTTTAAGATGTGAGTTGATGGATAACCTGCAATGATAAAAAAATTGTCAATATAATGTTTCTACTGTATATAAACATTTGCTACTGATCTTGACAGGTATGTGTAGGTAAAATTCAAGTTAGGCATGACAAAACCTGTTGAGAAAGATTATCGTGCTGCGGGATATTCCTTTTGCAGTGTGAGCACTTTGAAAAACAGTTATTTCTCTGCAGATTAACAAATACAGACACAATAAGAAATGAAGCGGAGAATCATTCTCAGGTGCCATCGTGCTATTGCAACTCATTGTGCCTTGTGTCTCCAAAACTTTCTTATGAGCAATTATATCTTTTGAAGTAGTTGGCTAGAGAAACCATGCTCTCTAAAGATTCCCCAAAGATTCACCATCTGTCAAAAGTGAGCCATTCTGCCACCTTTATAATTAACTGGTACCTCACACCTACATTCTCACACCTACTGTAACATACTGTTCTTGAGAATCAGCGTATTGCCACACTCATGTCAGATCCTCTTCTAAGGCATTGCTATTATGTATCATTATAAACCAAGACAAAATGCAAATGTTTACCCTAGGAAAAAATCATAATGACATCCCAGAGGAGTACATGAGTAAACACATTTCACAGTTGCTTTTTTATCAACCAGGTCCCTGCAAGAGTTTTCAGAAAATCCAGCTATGTCAAGATGCAAGAATCTCAGCTCTTCCCACTTGCTCATGCTCACTGGTGCACCCAAGAGGTTAGTTAGATCCATGTATTTCCAGTGAGGAATACCAGGTATTAGTTCATCAAGGGATCAGCAAATATGAGTACAATTTTAAATAAACAGTCAAGGTCTCAGTTTGTAAAAGCCATGTACTCCTTTATTTGAACAAGAGCAAAATAATCTTTACAATAACATGTACCTGATCTCCAATGCATTTGCATCAGTGCAAAAATCAAAACCTACCTGATACTGCAGCAGGCTTTTGAATTCCCTGGAAGATAAAAGGCTGTGAGTTCTTATGGCAGCTGCAGCATGCCTTGTCTATGTTGTGTCTAGAGAGAAGGGAACATGCAGAGCTGTGAACCTACACCTTTTATTAATGTTCTACTTGCTAAGCTATCTAGATGTAATGCCACCAGATTTCTTTGGGGAGAGGAAGGTATATTAATCTTTTATCAGTGTAACCCAAAATGACTACTTTCACTTAAGAAGTAGTCCCCACAGAAGGGGGAAAGAAGGGAAGATAGCTGCTTGCTAAAAACAAGACCATATGATAGCTACTGCAAGAGAAAGGTGGTACCAAGACAGTAATGTAAATAATCCTGATGTTTTCACCACAGCATCACTGAATGGCTGGTGTTCTGGGAAAAGGATCCAGTGGAGATTCTGCTTAATTTGGGATTTGGTACAGAAGAACCTGATGTCTGCACAAAAATCCCTCCTCGGTTCCTCAGTGGTGCTTCTGTAACAAAAGGGTTCGATGTCCAAGACTTTTTGGAAGCTCAGAAGCAGCGGATGGACATTGAGAAGCCAAACCAATATGGTAAGGAGAGACATTTTGGCAAAAGGAGAAGTTTTAGCCATAAATAGTGTGGGAACTTAGAAGGTAGGGAAGAAGATGGTTATGAAAAAAAATTAATGAAAAGGGGACATGTATTTAGGAGACAAGGAGGAACCTCACCACTTTTGTGAAAATGATAATTCCTAATATGACTAAGTACTGCATAGCTCACTTAGCTGTGGACTGATTTCTGTGCTGAAGCTACCAGCTTGTGGCATTTTAAAAAAAAACCTGCGCATCCTCTATAAGACCTATCCCATGACCAGAGATTGTTCTTGGTGTCGCAGAGGCTGCCAAATTATGTAAATACCTTAATATGTACCCACCATCATTGGTGATGTAAGCCAATACAGAGAATATTGAATTCAGTCGGGCCTGACAGGGGCTTATGTTCCCCTTTAGCCTTGGTGGGCACAGGATCCATGCCACAGGACAATGTGCAGAGTAGATTACAAGGTATTAACTTTCTGTGGACTAGAGCTGCCAGAACCTGTGCATTAGACCCAAAAATTCCTAACTAAAGCCTAACAGTTTTGTGTTTCAAATATGTCCTAAGGCATAGATGAGGAGTACAAAAAAATTGTACCATTTAAAGGACAAAGTCTTGATTTTTATTCACTTAGATGCTTTTAGATCTTGTTTTGTATGTTTTGCTGTTAAGAAATGAATACAAGGTCTTCACCCTAAAGATATATTTGCATTAAAATAGATTGTTAATCTGCTAGTATATCATCCATCTGAAAAGTCCCATTTTGACATCGTATCCCAAAAGTTGGAGGCACAGTTAGCCAGATGGCTCTTGAAATCTTCTGTTTACTTAAGATGCTCAGTGAAGCAGGATCTCTCACGTAGCCCATGCATTCCTGTTAAGAATTGCACCAAGGAAGCAGTATGGATGGAATGAGAATTGAAACAGAAATGTCAAAGTATTGTGGAAAATATGTTTTTCTCTTTCTCTCTTTTTATAGCACACATTTCAATATTTACAGCAAACTGACATATCAAACAGGTTTCTCAACTCTCACTTTATTTCTCTCTCTGTAACTCCTGAGAGAGAGGGAAAGAGGGATCAGAGGTAATCAGCGTGAGTAGATGGAGATGGATTTGATGAGACGACTCTTAAATGGATTAGAAATTGGTTGGAGGGTCACATGCAAAGGGTCAGTAGCTCAGGGTCCCAGTGGACTCTGGGATTGAGTGCACCCTCAGTAAATTTGCTGATCACACCAAGCTGAGTGGTGTAGTTGACATACCTGAAGGACAGGAAGTCATCCAGAGGGACCTGGACAAGCTCAAAAAGTGAACCCATGGGAATCATCTCATGTAGTTTAATAAGATCAAATGCAAGAGGCTGCACATGGGTTGGGGTATCAATATAGGGTAGGGAAAGAACAGATCGAGAGCAACCCTGCTGAGAAGGACTAGGGGGTGCTGGTGGATGAGAGATGGGACATGAGCCTGCAAGATATGCTTGCAGCCCTGAAAGCGAAGTGTATTCTGGGCTGCACCAAAAACAGTGTGGCCAGCAGGTTGTCTTAGTTTAAAGACAAATATTTGGGCAGGAACTCCAACAAAATGAACTCCCTCCCCTTTTTATTTCCCGTCGATACAGAGAGGCAAAATGCAAGGAGGTATAACTGAAAAAATAACAGTGTACTGACAAGGAAACAGCCACAACCACAAAGACACAAAGGAAACAGCTTACCCAGAAAGAGGGGAGTTCACAACCCCAGGTGGCCCTCCAGGAAAAAAGGGGGAAAGAAATGGTGGAGGGTCCTCCTAGCCAACCACCCCCCCTCTGCCCAATTAAGCAAAAGAAAACAATGGGAAACAGGACAAAAGCAAAAATCTAGGAAAATTGTGTTGTTCACAAAGAATTATATTATTAAACTACCCATATGTGTCACTTGGTCAAGTTCAGGTCTTCACTGTAGCAGTGGTGTTAGTTCAGAACCTCTTTGTTCTCTGCCACGTGTTACCTACAGCACAGATGTTGCACTACTTGTCTTGGCTGGGCGGGAGGCAATGGCAGTTCAGTGGTCCCAGCACAGGCCAGTGGTGGTCCCATGTGGTGGCAGCAGACAATTTCACTTTTGTTTTCTCCCCGGCTGTGGTGGAGAGCGAGCGGTGGTGATGGTTCAGGTAGTGGGTCCAGGCTCAGTGAGAGCAGCAAGTCTGGCAGGTCTGAGAGTGTCAGCAGCGGTGGCTGTGACCATGGCAAAGAACAGTGCCACACAGAATCTCTAGGCACACCCATGTGGTCTGGGGGACAGAAAGAGTTTCTGTTCCCCACCCAGATATTTTTCATTTATTCCCTTCTCCTCCTGACTCTGGAAGGGGGGGGGCACGGACAGAAATTCATAGTTAAAGAGACAGTCCTTCCAAAACAATGTTGGAAAAGGGAACAAAATAAAAAAAAATTCCTGTAACTATGAACAAATAAAGGGAGGTGATTTTTCCCCTCTACTCCACCCTGATAAGACCCTACCTAGAGTACTGCACCCAGCGCTGGAGTCCCCGGCACAGAAAAGACATATATTGGAAAGAGGAGGGTCACCAAGATGATCTAAGGCTAAGAGAATTGGGATTGTTCAGCCCGGAGAAGGCTTCAGAGTGACCTAATTACAACATTCCAATACCTTAAGGGAGCCTACAAGAAATATGGAGAGTCACAGGACAGTGGAGAATGGCTTCAAACTGAAAGAGCAGGTTTAGATTAGATGTTAGGAAGAAACTCTTTACTCAGGGGGTGGTGACGCATGGGAACAAGTTGCCCAGAGAAGCTGTGGATGCCCCACTCCTGGAAGTGTTTCAGGCCAGGTTGGATGGGGCTTTGAGCAACCTGACCTAGTGAAGTCTCTCTGCCTAAGGCAGGGGAGTTGGAATTAGATGATCTTTAAGGTCCCATCCAACCCCAGGAAATAGTCCCTGACATAATTTCTTCATGACCTGAGTATTTATTACACTGCACATGAGTGAGGCATTTATTTTTATGTAGTTCATTTATAATATCTCGTTTGATTTGTTCTTTAGATGTCTAAAGTTCTTTGAAATAATTTAGAAAAGCTAAGCAGTGGGTAAAAAAAATTTCAAATTGCAGCAAATTTTGTTCTGGTTCAAACAAAAAAAATGACTGTACTGCTGTACCAGACTGCTGTCAGAAAAAGGAGATTAGCACTTGGCATGTTTATGACCTGATGTAGTGGAGCTAGATGAAATACCGAGGATAAAATATGCTTTACATGGAGAGCATGTGATAGCCCAGTGGATGTACAAAATGAAAAGTTATTAACTTTGAAACCCCAAACTTAAGTAAATAGAAATTATACAACACTGTGTCACATATATTGATAGATCAGATAACTCTAAACAATATCAAGCAAAATTTTTTTAAACAGTGGCAAAATTTTCCTCCAGTGTTAAAAACCAGGCAATGTCTGGGGCAAAACCAATAAGGAGTATTCTTGAAATATAGTAACTATTAGAAATTATATGTCATGATATTTGTCTTTGATACTATTTAACCATGTTAAATATCCCATTGTTGTCTAATTGTCAGTGAAGCAGCTTTACCAACAGCCTGCATGCAGACTGCATAGAGAAAATGTGGCTGCTCTCTAAGAGAAATGACAGCCAAGAAAGTTAACTTTTTGCCATCTACTGTGCTCAATGAATCTCTCAAGGAAGCAGGAGTTCTGGTGGCATATTCATTGCCTCAGGATAGGTACTGACACAACATGCAAGCAAATGTGTTGTATTTCTTTGAATAAATGACTTCATAATATTGTAGTGAAGGAGATCTCCAAGATCCCTCAGATAAAACATTATTGGCTTCTCTTTATATACTGTGCTATGGAAAAAAAGGGCACAGAAATTACAGGATGTTAGTAAAATGAAAAAAATCTAGGAACCTTTATTCGACATCAGCTATGACTTTCTCGGGGATGACTTAATTGCTTTGTGTTCCTATGAAAATGAGACTATAGCTTCTGCTGTCAATTTTTATCAGTAAATGACTGCATTTGGAGCTCTCTTGGAGAGCTGCCAGCTGTAAAACATTTGAGGTCAGATCTAAATAACTTTATTCCCATGAGTTTATATAAGTCCTCAAAATTGGCATCGAAGTCTGGCCCAGACAACTGGAGAATTTCAGGCTAAATTCTGTAACTGTTATTCACGCAGAGCAATATTCAGCTGCACTTGACCCAAGGAATTCAACCTTGTGTGTTTGTCTAATATAAAGAATTATGCAACGTGTCTATGTAATTTGAACGAGTCCTCTGGAAGCAAATGTAAAAACGTAGCCACTTTTAAATGAAGTACTTAATATGTGTCTTGGCAATAACAAGCTTGAATAATCGTTGTAATTGATTATTTAAAATTATGCTTTTTAATAACCATGTTGCCTCCCATTATACCAAACTCAAGAACATTTTTGATGGCTGGAAGTACTTGACCATGTATCCAGTGCCCTCGCATCTTTGCTGACCGATGTCAATACCCAGTAGACCAAAGCACAGGACATTGGCAGGGGTAAGACCAGTCTGCTGGATGCTGCAAAGATCATGCCTGCGATTGCACAAGTGAAGTGGAAAAGAATAAGTAAGATCCTGTATAGGGCTTCTCGTTAGACACTGCTACTGCAACAGGGCTTGCTGGCACTTGGGAAGCCAACTTGCACAGCAGGAAAGAGCCATCCTGTTCTTGTGCAGATATTGCTGGGGGGGGGGGCACAGTCCAGGCACACATTTCTGCATGTGTTACATTGGGCTGTCTGACCCAGGAAACAGAAGTGCCTCAGCATATCCTCCATGCCAGTGTCCACAGATGCCATCAGAGAAAGCGTGGGCTTCATTGCATTTGGTTGAAAAACAACCTCACCTTTCTCCTGCATGCGAAGTGAGGAGCCAATTTTGCTTGTGGCCCACATGCTCAAAAAAGTGGCTGACCTAAACCGAAAGCTGCCAGATTCATTTGAAATGGAAGAGGTTAGGTGAATTTTTGTGTATTGTGCTAGCTATATATTTCACAGAATATTCTGTGTTGGAAGGGACCCACAAGGATCATTGAGTCCAAATCTTAAGTGAATGGCCCATACAAAGATCAAATGCACAACCCAGGTGTTATTAGCACTATGTTCTAATCTTCATCCCATTTACAGTATAAGTTTAGATTCTCTTTTTCAGGATGATAGCTAGAGAAAATTATTTCAACCAACACTATGCAGAAACATTTTGGGGAAAACGAGTAGAATTTACACTACTCATTGAGAAACTGATTATTTTAAATTGTCTTTGTGTTACAATACTGTCAAATAAGTTGCCTCTGAAGTTACCAAGGTGGATTCTTTCAAACAGTATGATTGAATTGATAGTGTAAGATGCCAAAGTTTTTATGCAGCACTAGATTTTTTTTTAATAAAAGGAAGTTGCAGGAAGAGTGACACATATGGTAAAGGATATTTTTACAGGTCCAGTCGTTAACCAGGATTGATCTTTTTTTTCCTGTCTTTTTTTCCCCCTAAGCTTATTTTCTGGTGTGTTCTTTCAGAAAATTGGATTAGAAAATAAACCTTACTTTATAGCAGTGTTTGAAATAGTCTATCACTCTGTAAGCTGAGCATATTAAAACCAGAATAAATCAGTAGAGTACCTTACTCTCATGTAAGGTACTTTTGCATGTCTGCAAAGTCCATGCGCCTCAGCTCTCTCTATGTTTTAACAACAGTGGGTTGTTAAAATGAGACTAGTAGAGATGAGGATAGTTGTCAGTCCCCTTATTACACCTAGAGATATTTTGTGAGCAGCAGGTTTTCTGGACGCACTGGTGTAGAAAAAGTGCTACGGTAGAATACTCTCCAATCATACAGACTCAAATGGGACACCAACAGGAATACTCGTCCCCTTCCAGCCGTCCTTCAAGATTGAGGAAAAGGAAGAAGTCCGAAAACTAGGCTCTACTCTAAGAATCAAGGAAAGGAAGAAAAATGGGATGGTTGGCAGACCCCTAAAAACTTACGGCACATGCAGCGAAGGAAAAGAAGAGAAGGCAAGGAAGGAAGCAGGAAGTGATTGGAAAATGTGGGAGACTTAAAAAGGTTTTCCATTTCTTAAAGTATTGGGAAAGTTTAGGTTAATGTGGTGGCATTCTTTTCAAGGAAAGGATATCTTTTCAAGTCCTTCCAAAGGTGTACTTTTCTGTGATGGGTTTGGTGCAGCCTTTCTCTCAGTAGAGCTGCTTCAAGAATCAGAGCACAAATCTGATTATCAACCTCAGTGGGAATTAGAGTGTACTCAAGAGATCTCCAGCACTGCAAATTTATAGTCCCAGAACAGCCCATATGTCTTTGTAAAGCACTTAGCATGCTGGACTTGCAACCCTCTGACTAGAGGCTCACACAAAAGGGAGGGCATTTGACAAAGCAGTAAATGGGGGTGATCAAAAACTGCCCACTTTATTGTCTAAGACAATTTGTTGAATGCTGTATGCCCAAATTAGATAGGGTATATATTGTTTAATTTCTGAGTATTCTCTACCACGTCATTAAATTAAGACCATGTCTGATACCATGGGGTCACCTAAATTAGTAGTCTGGCTGTGGCCAGTAGCAGATGTGTGGGGGACAGAACAACAGACACATATACAATGATCCTTCTCTTGTATTCTTCTAGCCTTTGACAAAGAGAGAATGAGAGATCCCCTTAAGCTACAGACTGCATGGAGAACACACCCAACATCAATGTTCACGTGTATTTACTTGTATCGAACTGATCACCTCTTCTCTTAAATTTATTTTTTCTGAAGCCGTTTATGCAGCACCATGACATGATGTTCTCATTGGTACTATGAAAAAGTCAAATGAGTCTTCATTCCTAGAGGAAAAAAAAAATCTGACTGTACATACACTCTTTGGCAAGAATATTTCCTTGGGTTCTTTCTGATAAGTCATATTTTTTTCCCCAGGGATATTTCTCCGAGGCTGTTCAAATAAGATTGTTAGTGTATTACAACCTTTGTATATTGATTACTTTGAGCAAGGCTTGGAAAGGTTCTGACACTATTTTAAAGAGGAGAAACAAAAAGGGAACAATCTGAAAGATGTTATGTTTTCACTTTCAAACATGCAGAATTTTTTTGTTTGTTTTGTGTTTTTACTCCAAACTCCCCTCATAAGGTATACATTAAAGATCATTACCATCAATAAGAATTTTTCCTCCTCTCTTCCTTTTCTTTTCAGATTCAGAGTTTTGAGGATGAAACTCTATGTGGAAATGCTCCTGACACCACTTCAGTTGAGTGTTAAGAAACGATTTGCCCATTTTTATTTTTAAAACACTCCTTCCATGTAACTGCTTCTAAAGTTTAGCTAACAATACATTTTCCCTCTCTGCTCCCATGACCTCTGACATTTGAATGCATCATTCTAGACATGACAGTCTATATTATACAACTTGATAAATCATAGGGCTGTAAAATATACTTAGCTTGTCAAGGAGACAGAGTGAGTGCACATAAAAACAGTATCTCGCATGCGCAGCTTTGAGTGTGTGGGGTCCCTGTTTGATGCTTTAAGCAGACCTCTTTTTGGTCTACCAAACAACACTAAATGTGTGCTCCTCCTTGGTGAATTATTTGCCAGACTCAAATGACCCCTTATATACTAACTCTCAGATCCCTGGGAGAAAAGTCAGCCAGGAAACTGGAGATAGTAGCTCTGCAGCCACTCTGTACCCAACGCAAACAGGACCATTCAACCAGAACTTTCTGATGGTGGCATGGCCTCTACCCCATCATCTGTGTCTACTGTATCACATAGCCACCACCACGTAGCAGTGAATCACGTGTTAGAAAGCAAGTTATTTGAGGAGCCTATGAAAGGATTAACAGCAAAACTGTTGGACCAGATGTTATGCTGTCATTTGGGGCAATCTGAATTTGGATCGTGAGAAGCATTTACTCTCAGGGATGGCAATATTGGGGGAATGGCTCTTCAGTCTCCAAAGCAGGAAATACCTGTCCTTGCTCCCTAGAGACCTTTCCTATCCAGTGCTTAAAGAAGAACTGGTAGGGTTTAAGTTTTTTTTAAATGGGGCACAAGTTTAATGTGAAAGAACTAATAAGTAGCAAGTAGCAGATAGCAAAGGAGAAAGCTGGAAGTTTTGTGAGCCCTCACCTTTTGTGAACTAGGTTATATTACTTCCATGGAGCCAACACAAATAATACAGCAACCCAACTTTCTACGCAGGTATCTAAAAAAACCTCAGATATCCACTGGTGCTGGGCATTCAGAGGTACCATTGACTAGAGTGACAGCTGTATTTGCAGGAGTGAAATTGTGAGCCTGTTTAAGGTAGAGGCATATGTCCTACTTACTTCAGTGAGCCCAGTGTTTTTATCAAGATGTGTGGGGTTTCCTTGGTTAATCCTAGAGCTCAGTAAAGGTGATGAAATAGAATCATGTCAGGTCCTTGTTGCTATTCAGACTTGTCATCTGAATTATATGAGGTTACTTCGGTTTTGTTTTCTGATGGATGGCTTGATCTTCACAAACAAAGATAAGAACCCATAGTAGTAGTTTTTCTCATAATAGTATCTACAGAATAGCAATTCCCCAGGACTGGTGCAATGAAAAACACCTTTTGGATAAACATTCAGTGATAAATTTAAAAAAAAGAGAATGTGGACATAACCCAGTGGAGAAAGAATTCAAAATGTAACAACATAGACACGAATGCTTTTTTCTTTTCTTTGTCCATCTTTAAAAAATGACTGCACTATTTAATTATGCCTTAGTTAGAGGATTTAACAGGTTGTATAGGTATAGCAATCACAAGACAAGGGGGAAAAACCCCCAGTATGTCCTGAATAATCTTTTATGACCTAGGAATAAGCACATATTTAGTTGTAATTTCATGACAGAAAATGCAGACAGCAATTATTTCATTTAATTCGGATAAGACTGTCATTCAGTTAAGTGGTCAACCAAAATCATACAAGTGAACTGAACTTAGGTAAGGTGTATGCCTTTGCAGAATCATAACACTATTTTAGAGTTTTGTCTAAATACCGTATTCTCTCTCTCTTTCTCTCTCTCTCTCGTTTTCTCTGTTGTTTTAAAGTCATTGCTGCTTGGCCTAAATTTAAAGTGGAGATTTCCAGCTTTATTTTTTACAAGCTTTTTTCATATTCTTCCTCTTTTTTCCACTGCTATTAAATGGCATAATACCTTCGTACCCAATGAAGTATTTTTGCGTCTTCAACTTGCTTGCCTACCTTTCAAGAAGGTTCCTATAAAATTCGTCAGAATGTGGCTCAAAACCATAAGTAGGGGTCCTCAAAATATGAGTGGAAAATAGAGTCTATCAGAAGCCTACACAAAGAAAACCTCACCTCTTTCAGAGCATGCCTGAATTTGTATTTGGCCTCCAAATTCCCTAGGGCACGGGCTGCCTCTTTTTCAAGGCTTATGGAGTGCCTGATACCATAAGGGTCCACCTCTCATTTGACTGTGGGCTCTGTTGGAAAGGATGTGAGTGATAATGAAGATGTGAGACCTTTACATGACCTTGCTGAAATGAGAATTCACCTGAGTGAAAGAGTGAAGTTCCCAATATGAGAAGAAATAGAGATAGACAGGAACAGACTGCTTTGCCTAGATAGAGCATATTATGGATGAGTATAGAAGTACTTGTCCCAGTGGTATTGTCCCTTGTCTGTGTAACCTGGCCTCAATTTTATTCCAGTTGCCTACTTTTCTACATTCCCCATGAAAGCCAATTCCCTGGCTGCTGTGTGTCTTCTTTATATTTCTTTATAATGTAGATTCTAGCTGTTTAACTGCAGTAGACTTTATGATAAGGCTTTTTTCCCCCCTCTCTTGGCAGAATCCCGAGACTTAATTTTAAAAGGCGTTCAAACCCCTAAACACTCTTGAATGACTTACAGGAAAAGAAGAGTGTTTGCTAGCTCTGTTTTTAAAAATATTACAATCTTTTCTTATTATGCAATTTTATCATTGTTATAAATAAGTAATTGTACTGGGGAGAAGGGATAATCCTTATTTAATTAAATTCATCTATAGTCCCAGGTTGGCAGCAACCAGACATATGTGAGACTAATACCCGCAGCCTGCCTGTATGCATGTGCAATTAAAAATTCACTCTACACTGGCACTGAGAGTTTAGTGTTGCTTTTGGCATTTAGAGATTCTTTTATTTTGTGATTTTTTTTTTACCATACACATATGCTGGAGCAGATGTTGCTTATTTGTTGTTTATTCAAATCTGTAGTCTCTGGCAGCTACCTCCATTGTTCTGTAATGAAGCTTTATTCACTGTCCTGTATCAGGACCCAGTAAACGAATGATGGGCAGAGTTAGCTCTCAGCAGGAGCTACAGTTTTTGTCCTTACTTATTGGCTGTTTATATTCTAAAGCTCAAAGTTGAGAAAGCTGGCTGGGCAGGGTAAGGGGCTATATGCTGCGTGCAGAGGAGAAATACTTGACCCCACTTTATCTTTGCCCTGATAAGGTACAGGCTTGCAAGTAAAATCATCTTTTGCAGATGTTTTGTATTCAGCACTTGAAAAATAGAGCTGTTCTCCCCCTCCATTCCCTGTCCCATCTTGTTCTCCTCCTTCTACCCCTGCTGTTCCTTTATTTTTTAATCAGCCTTTGAAAAGCACTGGGTACAACTAAAGGATGTTGCAATGCTGCTCACCCCTGTTAACTCAACATGTGCCTGAAAATTCATTAAGAGCAGTGCCTATCTGGGAGGCATGGGAAGTGTGTTTTTTCGGTGCATGTTGTAGTCACCCACTACTCCTTGCTCCTAGCTTACTTCCCTCTTCCTCTGTGGGGTGCCCACGCACCGGACAGGCAGCAATTTCTGCACAGTGCTGACCCAAGCAGACACTGCTCCCAGGAACTCCAGTGCCAACACAAAGAAAATTAGCCTGCTGGAAAAGCCCTTGGTAGCCCAAGAGGTAATCAATCAGGGAAGTAACCACCTCCATCTGTCTCACTGTGACATGGTAGCTTGCTACCAATGCACTTGTGATTCATCTTGTCCCAACTGGTGGTGCCAAGCATCACATACACACAGGTTTTGCAGCAGCTGGGAGCGCCCCAGCTTCCCTGCTACTGGGCTAACACGTTAGGTTCTGTGACTGATCAAGTAGGAATTTTTTCAGTTCTAGCACATTCACTCCTCCTACTCACCAAATCCTCTGATGGTTTGGCAACACGGCGATATTCACAGAATGCAACTGGTATTTCTTTTAATTGACTGAGTGCTGAGAATGTGAATCCTGTTTATTATCCATTGTAAATTTGTCCTTCAATTGAAGGAACAATGTCTTCAAAAGTACAAGAAGAAAATGTATGTATATTTCCTAAGCTTCAAAGAGTACAGGACTTTCTGTGTACCTTTCTCTAGTTTTAGTATTAAGAAGTGAACTGCTAATTCATATATCATATTTGCTGTAGTGCCAACATAACACTGTTTTTCTTTATGTATAACACGGTGACTTTTAGTGTTAAGTACATATAAAAGGAAAGGAAAAGACAAAGAGACAGGCAAAGGGAAGACTTGTTAAATCTGTAATCAAAAACTGGGAGCTGAACTTAAAAATCTCCCACAACTATTCCTGTGTTGAGACCAAATGACATTTATAATAAAATTTGTCATTGGTTCATGATAACATACAATCTCCAAATAACAAATTCTCCCTTCATAAAACACAATGGAAAATAGATCCGTAGATCCCTCTCTACAACAGTTTTATCTTCTGCAGGTGTCCTGGCACAAAGGAGACATACACCTTCTTTAGCTTCTCTGGGTTGCCTACATTAGTTTTATGAGACAATAGCCCATATTCTCCCCATCTTATACATTTGAACCATACAAAGGGCTTCTTATTCTTTCCCATTTCTTACATAAGGGATCTGTAAATGAGAAAAAAAGGAAGCCGTAGCATTTTAATGCATTTTGTGTCCTGAATAACTCTGGAGGCAAAGTGGTGTGGTCCCAGAAAGAAGCAGAGAGAAAAGTGAAAAGCAAAACATCGTGAAATGATGAATCTTCAAAGTTCCCTGTATCTTGTTCCCATCCAGAAAAAACTTAAGTTGTCTGTTTTCCTCAGAGAAGTCCTCTGGAAAGACAATTTACTTTTGCACCTCTTGAGATACCCTGTGTCCTTCATTTTGCCTTGACATATTTCACATACTTCTATATGTCTAAGCCCAGCAATGGATATAAAGATGGAGATTCAGAATGTGGTGATGCTGCGTTCACGGTAC